AATTCCGCAGAAGTAAAATTGAATCTTCTTGTTCTAAAAATAGAGTGATTTTTGTTTTCGAAAATAGAGCTCCATGGTAAATCGCAATACATATTTGATTTGTTTACCGCGAAGGGCGGCAGCTTGTCAAACGAGATGGATTGCGTGTTCCAATCGAGCGAGCCACGAAGGTGCAAATTATGAATTTATCAAATTAAACACCGCATGAATAGCTCTGTACTTGAGTTGTCGCGACGATTTGAATGTGTAACGAAGTGGAAATGGCCAAGCCTGTGGGCATACGTCGCGATAATTTAGAATATACATCCGCGATGACGACAATGCGCGATGGTGGCGGTTCGAATCGACAAATAAATAGTCAATTCGTTTAACATTTGCTCCTGCCCGCTAAACGCGCTGTCCGCAATCGATTCCTTTGCGTCACGGCGTTAAAGTGTTCCGCGAACTCGTACCATTGACAACGCAATATAAATAGCATCGTTTATAATATTGTAGTGCGGGCGATTTAACGCGTGTCATTACGGTACGCACCGCGGGTCGTAAATATCATAAAGCGTAACTTGCTACCGAATTACATAAAAGAATCCGCGAATAGAACGCAATGCGAGAGAGTAACAATACGGGAGCAATGGAAAATAATAAAAAGTTAGTATCAGCTGCGCGTAAAGTCAAGGAACATTGATTCTTTACGAGCGCACGCGTAAAAAATACACGTTCCTGCTCCCCTTTCAAAACAACGCATATTCGAATATGCCTCACAATCACGCGAAAATATCATCGTTTGATTTAAATAATAGTGCTTGACAACGAAATTGAAAAACAAAACGCATGACGAAAATGTAAGTAATAAAACATAAGGACGTTTTCAATTTTTCTTCTTTAAAATAAATTTCGTTAAAATAAATCTAATAAATTTTATAATAATAAAAGAAAATTTTTAAATAAGGTAGTGATTGAAAAGCAGTTCTTTCTTTCTCTTTATACAAAAGCCAGCATAACTTTCATGTATCAATAATAAATTCCGCTTCAAATGATATGCTCTTCTCAGAATGGATTTCGATCCGAAACACTTCAGATACAAGGCATAGTGTTATATATGCGCGTGAAGCTGTCCCGATGCCGCATCGAAAGAGTCATGGCACTGCAGTGCAGCAGGACTGCAGCAGACTCCGAAATGTAGCGCAGTATGCGGTTGTATGCGGTCACGGAGGTTCTTAGTTAAGTCAGAAAAAAATGCAATAACGAGGCAGGAAATTCGCGAAGAATTTGACAAGAGGGGTAGAAGTTGCGATAACTACACTGTGAGGCAGTAATACATATTTTCCGCGAGCGGGATGCAATTATTATATCGAACTGACAAAGTTTAACCACGCATGTACATACGAGTGAGCCGGCGTTTATCGCAATAATTACACTTCAGCTTTAACGATAATATCTGATAAAAGCGATAAGAAGGAAAAGTTTATGAGTCAACGATCGATTCTGCATTTTTGACGCGTCGAGAGTTGTAACATCATTTACGAGATGGTTTCGTATAGTAAATTGCGATCATTAGCACGGCGATCATCGATAAGATATAGGTGGCGTGTGATCAGACGCGAAAATAATCCGCCAATTCAAAAGAACGATACAATTACAACTATGTGTATTTTATAAGATAATAACATTTCAATTGATTTGCGTGAGAATGACCTTCCATGGAATTTTTGAAACGCATATACAAAGTCAAGTGGAACATAACAAAAAAACTAATCGATTTCATGTCGCACATCTCTAAAATATAATATAGTAATGTGCAATCTTTATATGTAATAATTAATATAATATAAAATATGTAATTTAATTTCGGTATATCAATTAATAATTCATTAAAATTTGATTTTATAAAGTAATAAATTAATGCTATTTTATAATCTAACATTAGAGAGGAGTAATCTTTTAAAAGTTTTTTAAAAATACCCTTCAAATATGATTTTAAAATATAATTTTTCTACGTCGTAAGTTAATAGATCTTCTAAAATTGATAATAAGCCAGTACTGCGGCGCGTATACATGCACGTAAACGCATGCATAGTCGTAACGGCTGTTACAGTCCCAACCACGGCATTCGTATGGCGGACGTTATCGTGTAATTGCGGGTTAATTCGAGGCTGGCAGGCGACAGCGTACAAGGCGTGGGCGATTCCTTAGGCCTGTCTCGTTTTGTCGTTTCGCGTAGCTGCACGCAATCGCATTCGCCTAACGACAGAGACATCTCCTAGTAGTCTCTTGGGATCTTCGTCCAGCGCTCGTTGAACATATTTTACGCTTCGTCGCGCGAAACCGACGATTGTCCGTGCAATAATTTACATGGAAATCAGGCACGCGAAATCTAGAGACTCATTTACAATGCTCGGACGCGAAGAAAGAGAAAGATAAATAAGATTCATTCATTGAACGTGTGAAAAGTATGAAAATTTCACGGAGACAATATTTACGAATCTAAGAGTTTTTATGTAGAATTTTTTTTTCAATTTATCGATTTAAATTTAACAAAATTATTTTTCTGCTATTAAAATTTTTGCAAACAGCATTAAAAACTGTGCATTTTATAAATAATTTTTAAACACTTAGATTATTTACATTACACTTGATATGAAAAACAGCTATAAATGTCATTCTTCTTGTTGTTTGTTGTTAAAAAGAGGGTTTTGTTTTTGTGCAAAGGCTAATGCAATTATAATTATTATATTTCTAGAAATATATAATTTACTATCTTTTACCTGCATATATTTAAATAAATAAGAAAGTTCTGGAAATAACTTCTCTTAATGATTTTTATGTATAGTATTTATATTTTACTTAATAGAACAAGTCTTTAATTACTCCAATATCGTCCGTTTAGAAACGGGAATAAACGAGAGAAAACACAGTTGACTAATCCGTATTCTCTCCGTTGCGTCACACGACCCGCAATGCAGAATTCTAGATACGCCGATAAAGTCTACGGCGCGAAGGAAGTCCGAGACAACGTCGATCTCGACGAAGTCGGGACGTCGAACGCGACTCAATCACTTATTCGTGGCGCGTGGGTGTTCGTTCGTTCGTTCGTTCGTTCGGTTAAACAGGAATCGTTTCGACAAGATTAGATGCAGAAGAAAAAGGAGGAATCTGAGGAACGAGTGGCACCTGGAAGAAGAGTTTTCCACAGAGCGATGCACTCAGATGCACGAGCAGATTCTAAGTTCTCGGTGTCAACGGCATAAGGTCTCTCCTACGGGCTGCGGCCGCGTGTACACACGCGCGTTTATACACGCTCGCACGTGCGTGAATGTGAGTTTGCCGAGAGAGATCAGGCCTCGGATAGGTCGGGTCTCTTTTAGCTGGCAGGTATAGGCCGTATGCCTTAATAGAAACACCCACGCCCTCATTATGCGGATATCGTAAACATTCGCGGCGGACTCGCGATCTCCCGTATGCAAATATCATCGACCTCCCTCGTTCCCTTCTATACTTGCCGTTCTGTCCCGTACTGCAGTTTGCACGCGATCACGTAAAACGGCAGTCCACGTCGGACCTAAAGGTGCTTGCTCCTTTTCGGTCGCACGCGGTTTCCGTATCTCGATCTTTGATGTCGTCGTTTACCTCTACGATCGCTGCAATTTTTTTTTTTTTTGCTTAGGACTATTTATCACATTCATTATTTATACGCGAATTCAGAATAATGCTCGAAAAAAATCATAAATTAAAGAAAAGCTAACAAGCGTTCTAATTTGTTTTAAATTCACTATACAACTAATACCTATAATAATTTGTTTTTTGTCAATGATTACATAACTTTAAAGTTTAATCATTTTCTATTCATTACAAAAAATATTAAATTTGATTCCCATTTTTTATATTTGTATTAATAAATTAATTAAGAAATATTATAAAAGAATATTACAATACCCAAAAAGATGCATGTGTTGTGTATTATAATACATAAAGAAACACGCGAGAAAGGAGCGGCCAGTGCGAAGGGCCTGAGGTGACTCATTTTCGCGGAGAGTCGAATTACGGACTACCGGATATGTGGTTGCTGGTAAATGGGTTTCCGCTATAATTCTTATTATACGCGCAAACTTCTCGCGTGTACCAAATCGAGAAATGCTAAGATGTGCTTTATAAATATGATATAACACATAACGGCACTTCTTATGTTTAACGATATTTAATTATTTTGAAATGTGTATTGAAATATATAAGCTTTTCATAAATCTTTTGTTTACTGACAATGAGTATTGATCGATCGTAGTTAATAAATAATCTATGTAAAATTATAAAATTATAAAATTTAAAAGTCACAAGCTTTTATGTTACAATTGATCGATCAAATTTTAATATTTATGGAAAAAAATAGAAAAAGCTATTTTTAGCATTTTGTATCTGAGGGAATCTTTAATGTTTCAATTCTAAACATTAAAGATTCCCTCGAATCTCAGATTTAATAATCTCTTGAAATACACCTGTTTTACAAAGTCGTGGCGTTGTGCTGCGAGGCGAGAAATCGCAGCAGCGCGCAGCGCTGACAATTTGGTCGCATGTGGCATACAATCGTCACGGTACACGAGCGCGTAGTCAGCGATGATGAAGAGAGGGACATGCGTACTTCGTCTTAACCGTCAGGGAGTATTTCCACCCGCGCCATAGGCGCGATCGCGTGAACGCGAGATAGAGAAAGAGATGTAGCGGAGAGACGGGATCGGGAGAAGGAGAATGAAGGAGAAGGAGAGTAGTAATTAATAAGCCGGCGCATGATGATGAGTGGCCGGCGTAAATTAGCCGACACGTAAATTAACCACCCCCGACGAGACGCCGACGAATAACGGCTCGCACGAGAGGGGCAGGCGCGATATCGCACCGGCCCGAGACACCGCAGGTTCGAGGTCTCCCCCGGTAAAAAAAAAGGGCTCGCTCAGCAGCAACCGACCCTGAGGCCTTTAATGAACGTCGCGTGCCGAGCGCGAGAGTGCTCTTACCTTGCTCTCGCTTTCTCGAACATTATCCTCAGTCCTCATATTAATGGTCTATCGTTAGTACAATAATATGAATTATTTGTGTGCAATGTCTACAAATAAATACTTACTATTTGCCAAGCATCGGATAGCTCATAAAGAATTTACTTTAGCTTTAAACAGACTACCGTGATATAAGCTTTAATTCTTTGCTGTTTTATTAAAATGGGGAGGGGATCCAGCAAGATTTACTAACAACTTCATATACACGTGTATATATATATATATATATATATATATATATATATATCAAATATTAATTATAATATATATATATATATATATAAATGCTTTAAATATTAATTATAATAAATGAATGGTCAGGCCGAATGGTTAGGACGCCCGTCCGGCAAGCAGGGAGATATATCCGGGTTCGATTCCCGACTGTGATATTTTTCGCAATAAATTATTCTTTACAGATTTGGGAGAAGGGGATTTTTATAGATGCTTATTAGCATCAAAAATATTAAATTGCTTGATAATTTAATTCGTTACCATGAATTCGAGCTTCATACAAGAACTGTGTTTCAAGACTGACAATATATTCGACGCGCAGTATATGGCTTGATATTGTAACAATAGAAATTATTACACACCAACAACCGTGTCGACTCATGGGCATTACTTCAATATATTTGAATTAATTATAATCCTTAAATTTGTATCGATATATTGCGTGTCAGAATTGATTACTAAATATGATATATTGACTATAAATATTTTATAGTCAATAATAGATTATAATTACAAGAATTGATTATTAGAGCAAGATAGATATAAAATATTTAATGTTTTATTAATCGTTTTCTTGCTCAAAATATTAATTTTTTTACATAAAATCAGATGCGAAATCGATAATTGTTGGTTTTTTCTTTTCTTAATGTATTTTTTCGCGATACAAGAAATAGAACTTTTGAGCACATGCAAAAAATTCAATTATGATTGTTTAAGTCGCAATGAGTTTAGACATT